AAAAGAGTGGAGAAATCCAAGGAGGAAATTGCAGAAAGAATAACCATTATGACTATTCAATGTTTGAAAACTTTGGATTTATTTAAAGACTTCTCAACTGAAGACATTTACAGGAATTGGGGAGTGGTGGCAACTACAACCTCCATAAAACCTATTGTGCAGGAGTTGTGGTCTCCACCAACACAACAAAGAATGAAACTGAACTTTGACGGGAGCTCTAGAGGTAACCCGGGCCCTTCAGGTTTAGGGGGAGTATTCAGAGATGAAAATGGCAGAACTGTGGCTATGTTTTCAGGGCCAATAGGAGTGGGGGACTCATTGAGAGTGGAGGTGATGGCCTTGCTTCAAGGTGTAAGATATGCCAAACAATTGGGGGGGTTACATGAAGTTGAGATAGAGGGAGACTCTAAACTGTTAATTGATTGGTTGCAATCAGGTAAGTTGGGAGCCTGGATTTATAGGCAGGCCATAAGGGAAATCCTCAAACTAACAAGGGATATTGGTGCTTGCTTCAAGGTGTAAGATATGCCAAACAATTGGGAGGATTACACCAAGTTGAGATAGAGGGAGACTCTAAACTGTTAATTGATTGGTTGCAATCAGGTAAGTTGGGAGCCTGGATTTATAGGCAGGCCATAAGGGAAATCCTCAAAATAACAAGGGAGATTAGTGCTTGCTTCAAATGGAGAAGAAGATCAGCTAATGACTTGGCTGATATGTTGGCTAAACAAGGGACTGTGAGGGAGGGTATGTTCTGGGCAGTTTCGTAATAAAGATTACTGGGGACTCAATGTTCAGGGGTTGAAAGTTGTACTTAATATTGTATTAATGAAGTTACCGTTTCTAATCAAATTGAGTAATTTTTTCCTAACAATGTATGTCATTTTTTTTATTGTTTTCCATATGTTATCTACATGCAAATGATGATTTGCGCTATTTTCTTCCTTTTTCCTCTTAATTAATTTCTTTGATTTTATTGACAAATTTTCCCATTCTAAATGGATGATTCAGAAAATGATTCTACTAGTGACCACAAATATGATAGTGGAGAAAAATTTTACTTGGAACTTGGAACATTTAGGATTTGGTCATTTGAACAATTTGGAAAATTGGATTTTGGAACTCTATTGTGGAAGGTTCATGGTTGTTAGTTGACAAATTGTTACTTGTTGAATGCTAAAACGTATAGTTTATTGTTAAGACTTTGTTTTTTAAATGCTTTTACCTTTAATGTTTTAACTATTATGTTATTTTTGTCATTTATAAGGTTTGTTGGCTCTTTTGATTTTTGAAGCTTATGCTTCACTTCTTTGGGCTGTTATGCCTCAGCAACACCTTAGGCTGTGTTTGGTTTGAAGGAAAAAGTAGGGATAGGAAGGGAAATGTAGGAAAACCATTATAAACCTTGTATAGGTTTCCCTATGTTTTCCTTCCTTTTCCTTCAAACCAAACATAGCCCAAAGGTTTTTAGAATTCTAGTGGAAAGCTTGTGCTATTCAAGTGGAAAAGCAAAGATACAGAGCTATTATGTAGTTACTATCTAAATGATACATTTTAAACCACCCTGAACCTACTATTGATTTAACAAATCAGTTTCCCTTTGAAGACAATTGTGACCATCAAATTGAGGGACATATGCAACATTACATTGACCGTACAGGGTAAAACACAGCGGGGTGATTTTCTTAGGATGCCCATTCTTCAAAGGAAGCTTGTCCCCCCCCAAGATGCAAAATATGAGCCTTGGGTTTGGGCTGTAAGATGCTTGCATTGTCAAATTAACTGCAACATTCGAGCCTTGGGTTCATCACTCCCTGCCTTGCCTCATCATCACCAAAACCATCCTCATCAATCTGGTCAAGTATGTTCAGATCTGGATTTCCATCTTCTATGTAATTCAGCAACCTATCACACACATCCATTGTTAATGATAGTCATTCTAGTATTATAGCAGGTTGCTGTGAACTTGGAAACTCAACTGCTCTTGTTGATCGGATTTAATAATGGGCGCAATTCAAATTAAAACTCAACTGCTTACATGCGTGATTAACTACGCAACTTAATTACTGACTACAAAAGTAATAAATTGTCTTATAATGTGGTTGTTACTTGGCTCAATTCAGAGGACCCTCCCTGGAGATTCAGATTTTTGGTTAAGGAAGCCTATTTGTTGGGTAAAAGCCTGAACTGCTTGTTCAGGTGGATTGCCAGCCAGCCAATTCCCTAGATGATAGTTTAGCCAGGGCTATAGTAACTAGACAAGGTTACGATTAGGGGATGCCAGGTCAGGGGCTCTTGTAACTGGAATTCTTGTTAGTAGTTATGTATGTTCAGCTCTGTGTTGTTTCTTTGTATTGCACCTGTTGCCTTTTTTGGGCACTCCAGGTTTTCTTTCATGTTTTTTTTTTTTTTTCTTTTAATACAAATCCATTACTACAAGAAATAGTAATGGATATAAAGTGTCACTTTGGAAGTATGGATACACAAAATGACATTTGTGTAATTTTCAGTGACGTTCGGAAAACGTCTTTGTAGACATTTAGGCTGCATTTAGAATTCCTTATTTTAAGGACTGCAAAAAGGCGATAAGTCCTTAAAACAAGGAATGCCAAATGCAGCCTTAGTAACGCTCAAATAATGGTAATATATCCCGTATTTCTTGTAATTCTTGCCTCTTTATTGACGTTTTTTGCTGTCGCCATTAGTATTGCAAATGGGTTTATACCGAGGGAGTTTAAATCCGTTTTTAAAACTCTATATTTACGGTGCTTATACCAACTCTGGATCTCCTGCCCAAGGTTCAAACCGGCAGATTGGACTGTATCGAGGGCTCGCTCCCCTTTTTTTATGTTTTTATTTTTTAACCTGGTTTAGAGGGGTTGGTTTAAGGCCCTATTTATCCCCTGAATCGGGTTAAGCCTCAAAACGCCCCCTGTAGGGGCATATTGGGAAGCCCCAGATACGGCCTAATATGTATTGAAATTTCGAATCTGCTCCTGCCCACAAGAATTCTACCCCCAGCCACCTCTTATCAGTTTCTAATTAATTAAATTAAATGTGGGATGAAATGCTATGAGAGAGAGAGAGAGACTGTTGAACCCACCGTTAGAATTCTTAGCCCCACTACAGTTGGGGTAAGTGCTTGGGATGAAATGCTATGAGAGAGAGAGAGAGAGACTGTTGAGCCCACCGTTAGAATTCTTATCCCCACCCTACAGTTGGGGTAAGTGCCTGTTTAGAATTAATACTAATACATGGGCATATATGTGTTTAGGGTGAGGGTATTTGATATTTTGAATTGTTGTAATGTATATGTGTTTTCCGTGATACAGAATACAAGCTTTTACACTTTTACATATTATGGGACATAACAGAGCTTCATTTGACAGGTACATGTAAAATGTGGACCAAAGTGTACTTAAATGAGAGTTACCAATTACTACAAGATGATATATTTGCTTCGGAGTTCACACCAAGCATCCGCTGAGGTCATATTGGCGCCCCACAGCACCTCCCACCCACCCCAACACCCATGTATTGGGAACATTTCTCCGTCATAAGGAAGATGTTTCCAGTGCACGCTGAGATGTGCATGTGGGGCACCAATGAGATGTGGCATCTGCTACCACCTTCACCGATTAACATACTCGGGAATCTGGGAGACGGAACCACATGACCTACAACTACAAGTAGTATGTTATTGTAAGTCTTTAGATTGGCTTGGTCATGGTCCATCATACTACTGAAAAGAGGTACTGGCTCAAGATGGGCGACGCTAATTGACATAATCAGGTTTAGCCAGGTGTAACCCCTTAATCGAATTAATATAAACTTGGACCAGAATTCTTCCAAGTCTCAAAGTATAGATACATTTTTAGTCGGGCTGATCATATTGTTCCGGCAGGTCGTTGATATGTATTTTTTAAGTATTTTCCCAAAATTTTCATATATTTAAACGTTAAATAACATATAAACCAAGTAACCATTAACCAACCCCTTGTGAAAACATATAACTCGAAAAACCCACTCGGGGTGTATGATAGTTTGAACCCTGGTTTTGAAAACTCGGATGGTCAGATTGGTTGATCAGGAAATTGGTCAAGTAATTGGTTCTATTTCAAGCGACCCGCACCCAAGTGATCGAACCATTGATCTGGACAATAGTTTTTGACTGTTTGGCCGAAAAACCGCGAGAATGGTTCCATGTCTTATCTGATTTTTAAAACCTTGTTTTGAACCTTATCGAACCATTCAATTCAATCATTGAAACCAACCACACTATCAGTTAAATTGATGAATTGGAGCCGAATAGGATTAACTGGGTTCCAATCCAGATATTTGAACGGTGAGACGTGGGAAAGACATTATTTGTCTTCTCATGAAATGACTTGGACAGAAATCAAAATGCCACCTATCGGCTGTTTCACAGAGAAGAATAATTACTGTGCATTTCACCATGATTTTACCAATGCTACAGTACGCATAAGGATCGGATTGGGCGGTCGCCCTGTTGGCAAAAGCGAGAGAGACTGCTCGATCAATGAAGCGTGACCTGAGGATTTACAGCAAAGTGAACATGCTGAAGAGACGTACAATTATATGTTTTGAATATATAATTTGTAATTCTATCAATCTTGATTTAACAAAAAGCGACATTGATGTAATGTAATGTTATCATCCCTTACTCCCTAATGATTTCAGCTCATGACCATCTTCATAATACTGTCCAGAAGCTTGTCGGTGCAACCTCTTCATGGTGAACCAAACCAAAATGCCCTTTAACCATATAAAATAATAAAACCAGAGGTGGACAATTCAATAGAGTACTAGAATGAATGAGAATCACCACACCACCACTTAATTACGCAAAGTGTGTGCTTTCATCTCAAACCCACCTGCGATCTTAAAAGTAAGGGAGTCAAGAGCGAGTTAATTTGAAGTTATTCTAAAAAGAAAAGAAAAGCAACAACGTTTAATCCGGTTTTACGCCCTGATATCAGTTGGGGGCTGTTCACCATTCCGACCTCAAGAAGCCAGCCCAGCAGGCCAACAACAATGATGGTGACAGCGCAGGCAGCGTTTGCTTGCTCAGGTTCCGCGAAGTATTAATTCGTATTCCGTCTCTTTAAATCGATAATAAAACCCAGAGTCAAATCACCTCTCTCTCTCTCTCTCCCTCTAAACACCCCTCGTCTTCTTCTTACGTCTGCCTCCTCTTCCTCCTTGTTTTGCTAAGAAACAAGAAGTCCAATACAGAAAAGAAAATAAAAATGAAAGAAGACGTGAAGAGTGGGGGCGCTGAAGAGAATGAAGAGGAAGTAGTAGAAAAAATAGACTACGTCTTCAAGGTGGTAGTGGTTGGGGATTCGGCGGTAGGTAAGACCCAAATTCTGTCCAGGTTTGCTAAGAACGAGTTCTGCTTTGATTCCAAGTCTACCATTGGAGTAGAGTTCCAGACCAGGACCGTTACCATTCAGGGCAAACTCATCAAGGCCCAGATCTGGGATACTGCTGGTCAAGAAAGGTAACGAGATTAATTATCTATGATCCCACAAACCTCGTTCGTATATACTATCATAGTATCATCTGTTGTTGGTTGTTACAACTTACTAGCCATGCATACACGAGAAAGGAATTAGATAAGAAAATGAAAAAGAGGGAGCAAACATTTAGAAAAGAAAGCCTAGCTTCTTCCACATGTGCAGTGTGTTTGACTTGACACTGGGAATGGAGTGTCAGTCAATTTCGGTGCTTGAGCCTGGATCATCGTCCGTCTGCATCTCTGTTTGATGATCAAACACTAATTCATTCATTACTTCCCAGCTTTGTACGTACGTACGTGCTGTAATACACCACTCTTGTCTTCTCTGTTCGGGGAATTCCAACTATAGGTCAAATGTCACCGGAAAATGCTGATGGTAATGTGAACCTGCATTGATTGAAAACACAACCCAGCAGGTGAAATCCAAAGTCCAGACTCTAGGCACCCAACTGGTCAACGTTTCCCTGGCTGAAGAGGGAGAAATACCCAGCTTTAATTAGTTAGTTCTAAATAAGTTAATTAATTAGATTGTCTGGTCTTGGGTTGGGTTGCTCCACCAAGTAGAAGCAACCCATTTTATATGATGATAACCAAGACCTGATCTTTCAATTTGTCTGGGTGGTGGTCGGTGCTTTTGGAAGATGGAGAAGGTGGCTCAAGAAAAGAAGTTCATGATAACAATAAGGACACAACAACAGGCAGGAGCTAGACCACCATTTTTAACTTCTTAAGCATTGAATAGCAGACACCATGCATTAATTAAAACAACAACAAACTTTACCGATTTGTGCCGATGAGCGTTTTCTGTCTGCTTCATAAAAAAAATGGTTTTTCACTTTTCCTGATTCCTGAATGGATAGGTATCGAGCAATTACTAGTGCGTACTACAGAGGAGCTCTGGGGGCCATGTTGGTGTACGACATCACAAAGAGGCAGAGCTTTGACCACGTTGCGAGGTGGGTGGAGGATCTACGGGCCCATGCCGACAGCTCCATAGTGATCATGCTAATTGGGAACAAGGCAGATCTCACTGATTCCAGGGCAGTCCCCACGGAAGACGCCGTCGAGTTTGCTGAGGAGCAAGGCCTCTTTTTCTCCGAGACGTCGGCCCTCAATGGAGACAACGTGGAGAGTGCCTTCATTAGGCTGCTGGAGGAGGTTCATGGGATGATGGTCTCTAAGAAGGCCTTAGGCTACTGCAATGAAGGAAAAACCAGAGCTGAAGCTGAAGGTGATGTGCTGATGCTCAAAGGATCAAGGATCAATGTCATCCTTGGGGATGAGTTAGAGATGAGTGAGCTGAAGAAGGCATCTTCTTGCTCTTCTTGTTGATACTTGATAGATAGATCGTCCAAGTGTTTCTTTTCAGCGTTCCCCAGATCATCAGATCAGAGTGCAAGTGTGCAACAGAACACAAACAAAGCACAACATGACATATATCGGCGATCCTTCTCAGCCATTCCCTCCATCTGTCTTCCAGTGTCCGTCTCTGTGTTTGTGTCGTGTGTTAATTTGGAATTCCACTAGGAACAAGCGTGAAATTTACAACTGTTTGATAAAGTCGACTTCTGCTCGCGATGGGACCGGATGTAATTTGTAATGTTACGTACTACGTACTAAGCAGAAGATACCATTGCTTAATTTAACAATAATTTATATCGTACTGGATGTACATGATGATAGATATACCATTGCTTTGATCGAACGGTGGTTAATTTTTATTTATTTCGCTTTGTTTGTTACAGTCTTATAGAGCATGTCCTAGGCTCCTTAGCTATCGATTCATAACAGCCTCAGTATATTGGTCTGTAGAACAGTGATCACCACCACGGAATCAAAGCCCAAGGCTATGTTTGGTTTGAAGGAAAAAGTAAGGAAAGGAAAGGCAAGGAAACCTGAAACCTTGTATAGGTTTTGATACCTTTCCCTACATTTTCCTTCAAACCAAATATAGCACAAGAGAACTATCTGGGTCTCCATGTATCGCCCAACTTTTTTTTTTGGCAAAGTCGATTTGACTATACGAGATTAAAACGAGACACAGTTTACTTGAAAGATGATTCCTTCCAGCTAAGATTGAAATCAGTCCGGATTTCTTACTAACTCAATTCTACAATCTTCTCTACTAATCCAATAAAATAATGCCACCTGTAAATATGTTTTAGAATCCTAATTTGTGCAAATAATTAACGGCTGTTATTGCCCTTCCGTTACATCTTTTCCTAAAAAAATCTTTTTTTTTTCTTGAACATTATTTCTTTGTAATTCCTCTCACTCTCTCTTTTCTGGTGTTATTTGCTATATTCACGGGACAATAAATTTTTGTCACCTAACATCATAATTTTTCTCACTGTAATCATCTCATTATATATATGCTGATTAGGACGATCCCATCTCAGATGCCCTCTGAACCTCTCAAAACCCTTCAAATATAAGTCAATCTCTTATTCAAGATGTATGGAAATCCCACCTCCAATTCATGTTGAATCTACATCAATCTTGTTAACAACTTGTTTTGAACAGGTTAGAAAAGGTAGGCATCCCCTTATTTTTTTTGCTTTTACTTCCGTTTTCATCATCTTTGCTTTTGCAACTCAATCGAGTATAGACACTACTGCTCTGTTTTCTACAACTGAAACAAGGGAAACTAGTTCATTGCCGGTCATCCCAAATTCCACTCCTCCTTTGAATGGAAATCTACCATTGTATATGGAGGCTAGTAGACAACCGATTCCAAGCCTAGAATCCAAATCATAACAGTTCTATTATGAGACTCGTTCTGCTCACTTTCAGACCAGAACCTCCCTTAATCGATCTTTGATGGTGATTTGCCTTTCCATTGAGTAAATCTTGGAATGCCATTGCGATTCCATTGAGCTCACAATTAGGTCAAGAACACCCATCTTCACTTCAGTTTTATCTTTGTAGTAATTCCATGGGCCGAAGATAACATCAAGCAGAGAAGAGAGGCAGAATCATGCATATTTTTTTTTTAAGGAATACATGTCTAATGGAGGGATAATAACACCATCTGTGTTATTTGTAAAGTTAAAGATTCAAAAGACGTTTAGGTACAGGTGGTATTGTTTTATTGGGTTAGTAGAGAGGATTATAGAATTGAGTTAGTAGGAAATCTGGGCGCGATTGAACTTAGCTGTTAATAGGTAGTCTTTCTAAGTAACATTCGTGGGATTAAAGGATGTTACACCCTTTTTCTTATGCATAAAGGACCATGAAATGAAAACTTTATATCGCAATATAGGAGGCAGAAACTTCAGTCAGGTTGATGTCTTATTTATTTACTTAAGTGGGTTCGGTCAAGTTATGGGCCAATCTTAATCATGAACATTTTTAAAGTCCCTAAAGGCAAATCGATCATCATCTCTAAATATGAACTTTGGCCTGGATCCAAACTGATTTCAGAATCCAAATTTATCAATCCAAACCTAACCAGTTTTTACTGTTTACCTACTAGTTTATATAAAGAATGGATTGTCCAAATACAAAGAAAGTTTACTTTGAATCAGGGGAAAAAGTTTGTTAAGTTACTGATAGGTGCTTGAAAAATAACACATTTTTAAAAGTTGTAATAGGGTTTTAAATTAGATTGCAGAGAAAGGCTTTGGAGCACGAGGAGATTTGATTCAAGGCTTTCAGATCAGATCCAGTATATAGGTTTTGATGGGCATATTGGATTCGATAGATGACACCGTTTTCATCGATTCATCAAATTACCAACTTTGAATACTCAATACAACAAAGGCCTCATCCCAACTACAAACTAATTGAATATAGTTCATTGTTCCATTCTAAGGCTCAGTTTGGTTTGCAGGAATAAGGGTCTGGAATCAGAATTAGAATGGGCTATTTTGATTTCAACTGTTTGGTTGGGTGGAATCGGAATTCACCAATCCCTGCCCCTCCCCTGTGAATGAAATCTCATTTCTGCTGATTCAATTCCTATTTTCATTCCTATCTGAAGTTCTGAACCAAACAGAATATGTAAATAGATCATTCTGATTCCGATTTCAAAGGATTTCAATTCCAATTCTAATTCTGATTCTGACTATGAACCAAATGGACCCTAACTTTATTGTTCAATTCTTAGCCCTCGTATCACTTCTTCCTCAACCCGCATCCTCCTTGTCATGTTCCTCAGAACAAGGTTCAAAGTATTGATGCTTTCGCAAAATTTGTGTACCAAGAGTTTAAATTGACGAAAAGATGTTATTTTATTTATTTTTCTTGTTTGACCATTTGACAAATTATATATCAATCAAGTATTAACGTTCAAAATATTTAAAATCACTTGACTTCCAATATTTACAGTATCGAGACCCTGAAAACCTTATACCTTGCAACATTTTGAACCTTGTTTCAGCATCCCCATATCATAAATTTACCCTACTGATATGATACCTTTCCAGTATCATAAATTTACCCTACTGTTCTTATAGAACAATAGATCAACTGTATTTTGGATATACTTCCTAAAATAATAACCGTCCTATGTTGTTAAGAGAAGATACAAACTATCAAAAGAGAGACACCTAAAACTGAACTTCTTTGGAATTTATAGTCAATGTTAGCTTATACCTTTAGTGGCATGGCTTATATATATTTTTTATATGAGCTCTTCTAGCCCCTTCAAAAGAAAATGATAATAATATTCTCTTTGAAGAAAATAAAGAAAAATGACAAACTTGAGTGAAAATAATTCCACAAGGTTCTTTTAAACCCACATTGCATTGAACTCTTCTAAAACCGTAAGAAAAACTATGAACTCTATTTGCTCTATTGGCTTTTCGATTTATTCTTTCCATTTGGCACATAATTACCAAAGTGCCTTTCCCATGTGTTTTAAACTTAAAACAAGAAAAAAAAAAAAAAAACATAAAACAATCCTTTTGCATTAAATAACTCCATTTGTCATAGGTTTTTGAGGTTTATGCCTATCTATGCCTTGCTTTTTGAGGTTTAAGACTTGAGCCTCTTTCCAACAAACATTTAAGCCTCATATAAAGTTACGAGGCTTAAACCTTAATGCAAAATGCGAACACCCCACCTTAGGGCTTAAGCCTTTTAAAGCTATATGTAATATGCCCCCCCCCCCAAATTAAAAAAAAAAAAAAAGATAAATGCCTACCAAGTCTCCGCTACAACCACCAGAAGACATTACCAGCACCTTCACATTAACATTATCAAACTAATGTCTGTAGCTTCAAATTCAAGACCTCGGCAACCAGAAGGGTTAGCTCAGTTGGCATGTTACGATAGCTACCAGCCTACCACTGACTTTGGAGAAGGGTTATTATTAGTGTGACGCTGTACTATTCCAAAAGAGGAAAAATGAATTACGGGATTCAGGCGTACGATTGAATACCAAAAAAAAAAAAAAAAAACAGAATTCAATACCTCGGCTAGAACCGCAAGAGTTTAGTCGCAAGTTACAAAATTATCAAATCAATGTCATATCTTCAAATTTAATACATTGACTAGAAGCCTAGAACCAATTGCAAATTTTCCGATGATTTATGCCAATAAAATAAACCAGACTAAGAAATTACCACTCCCTCTCTACACTAGAATGAACATGGGATATCACTTTGCATAAAGCCACTCGTACATCATAATATACCATTCTGTGATCCCGTGTAAGAAATTGCACAAGGCAAAAAATCAACTCGAACCAGATCAATCCCAGCGCATTTTGATGATGGTATGCAGTATGCTTCCATACAGAAGGGATTTGCAGCATTAGTATGGCAAAACACTGCATGCCATAGAGACAAATAACTCCGTAGTTGTTTTTATTTTAATCAATAAACACGATGATAGGCTAGATAATCTCAAAATTTCCAAATATTTCAAAGAATGAACCCAAGTGTATCAATGCTGTGTGATGGAAAAAAGAGAGTTCATGAAGTTGAACTAATCAACTAATAAAGAACTCTTATGCGAACATAAATATTCAACCGCTAAGTAGAAAATGTAAAACGCCAAGGTATTTAATCCCTGGAGAAGAAATCATAGTACTTCTTTGGCCCCAAAGCCAAGAAAACTGCAGATTGTACACCATGCTAGCAGTTAAAACTGAAAACCATGACCCGGTGGCGAGACCTATTTGGACCCAGCAACCAATACCTGATATATGTAGAAGAAACTCATGCAACACAGGAATGAAGAAGCTAGTCCAGAAACCCAGTTCAGATGCCATCGGAAGAAAACCATGCATTGATAAATTAGCTGATGGTGACAACTCTCTTCATTGACTAAAACTTCAAAGCAGCTCTTGCCATAGCTAAAGCACCCTCATAACTCTGATTTCCACCAATAAACCCACTCATATGGACAAAAACACAACCAGGAATTCCCGACTCCTTTGATAGCTCATCATCTCTCAAGCCCCTCCATGGAGAAGGCAATGGCTTGCGGCTCTCAAATTTATCAGGAGATATTGCCACTGCCTGCACTCGCCAATTTTTGCTTCTATCATCCTACAGATCACAATGAAAGAATTTTTTTTATTAGACCAGAATGAAAGAATTATACTGGTCATCTTACAAAACAAAATTTACAAATTTGAAGAATAGGCAAACCCAAAAATACCACCCTCCCCCCAAAGCAAAAAAATATGGAGTCACAACAATAAATTTTCCATGGAACATTTAGACTCCCATGAGAAATACATTTGCATTTGGTTAAATTAATTAATATGATGCATGCACAATACTAAATTAAATTATGCTGGAAGGTGGCTAAAGTACCTGATAAAGAACATATTTAATCAGAGGATCAATCTTCATCTCCTCCTCGAGTTCAAATAAGTGAAGCTTCCACTGTAAAACAAACCAACTCAATGAGGATCTGCTAAACTCGAAGAAAACAATTAACTGTAAACGATGAATCACATGACATTAGCGAGAAATATTATCATGTAAAATACAAACATAGGTTTGAAGTAGCATGCTAATAGACATATACAAGAATCAAGAGAAGCAAATTAAACATCAGCAAAAGGATAGAAATGCTAGAAAAATAAAATCTTGCAGAGGGTTCTGAAGTGAAGAATCTAGAAGCTGACTAACAGAGTTTTTTTTTATCAATAACACAATTCATTAATTATCACAATAAAATCACAAAGAGGAAGACAAACTTTCTTATCTTCCAAAATCAGCTTGAGCCCCAAGAAAGGAAACAAGAGAGAAAGAGAAAAAGGGAAAAAAGGAAAATTAAATTACATCTGTGCCCAAAACATTGAAACCCTGTCCACCCCTTGTTTAGCTAACCTATCAGCAAAAGAGTTAGCTGATCTTTTTACCCATCTGATTTTAACTTCCATTTCTTGAACCAGCCATCTGAATTTCCTCCTCACATTGCTTTAACTCCATAAACCACTGTCGTCTTTATTCAACCAACCTACCACCACCTCCAAATCCCCTTCAATTATGAGTTTCCTGATATCCATCTCCCTTGCTTTCTGGACTCCTACCATAACTGCTTGGATCTCAGCTCTAAGAGAATCACCCACTCCAATTGGGCCTGAGAACATGGCAGAAACAACCCCATTCTCATCCCTGAAAATACCCCCCAATCCCTGATGGTCTAGGGTTCCCTCTGCTACTTCCATCAAAGTTTAGTTTTATGAAACCCACAGGTGGGGGAGTCCAACACACACTCATTATTGTTTTAGTCTGGGTACAGCTAGCAATCTCACCCCACTTCCTCAGCATGTCATTCACTATATAATCTGTGAATAGCTCTAAGGATTTCCTCCACTATACAGCCCTTATATGGATCAGAGCCCTCAGACCTTGAGCACTTCTCTCTGCTTCTGAGAAAATCCTGGAGTTTCTTTCTTCCCATAGAGACCAACAGATTGCTGCCCTCGGTCCTCTCCACATAGTCCTTCCCCTTTTCATACACGACTTAAAAAAAGGAGCAAAAAAACTTTGCAAATTTGATGGAGGATTCCAAGTACACCCAAACAAAGAGAAAGCCCACTCCCAAATAGATTTTGCAAATTGGCAAGACACCAGTAGATGAAAACCAGTTTCCCCATCAGCTTTACAAAGAACACACCAATGAGGGGACAAACAAGTATTGGGTCTCTTCTTTTGGAGCAAATCACTAGTGTTGATTCTTTCCAGAAA